ATGTCCTTTGTCGTTTGTATATATTTTAGTTGTGTTTTACAGTCAGTTGCTATGCAAAGAATATTGGTTGCTTATTTATTTGGAGACAATGACAACAAATAAATAAACCTTGTCAATTGAATGAGCTCGCAATTTCCCTTTTAAAAAATTCTACGATAGATTTTGTTTTGTGTCAAAAAGTCGCAAAAAGATTTATTTTCAACATTGATAGATAATCCATCATTTAATATCTCATTTTCTTTTTAAGTTCTTTGGTTTGGTTTTCAAGATTTTCGATTATACCACTAAGATTGAATATTTCTCATTTCTAGATTGAATATAATTAAATTCAAGTATTTATTTGAAGATTTGAGTCACTTAAATTTTAATCAAATGACCAAGTCAGTTACTATCACTGATATACATTGCTATCAAAAATTAGCATTAGTAAATTTTGCAAAGATTGATTTTACTATTACGTGATACTCAGATACTTGAAAAACAAATGTTGTACGTACAAAAAAAAATTTCGTTCATATTAGAATGAACATTTAAATTAAAGTTATAAAAAATAATAGTGTAGCAAAGCTGCACGAGAAAAAAAATTTTTGGTTTGAATTTTCTATGTTACACCTGACCTTGATTTTTAATTGGCTGGTAGACATGCACTGGCGTTGTTAGCATAAGTACGTATACCAGAATTGGCATACAGTATCAAAATTGACTGATAACAATTTGTACAAATGATTAGGAACGAGATTCCATTTTAGATCATTAATCATATAACAAACTTTTGTGTATTACTATTTAATTAAAATACAGGAAACTTTTTAAGTTAAATTTACTTTGATTAAACAACTAATTATTACCTTTTCGTTCTTACTATAAGAAATAATAAATTGTAAAAGAATTCACGTACTGTATTTAAATCTAGAAATCTAGAATAAAGCAGTAAAGTGGAAAATTATACCGGTATTCATTTATTCTTTATATCAGTGGATTTAAGTCCGGATATAGATGACCTCCCGACCCAAATGTTGACTATCGTTTATCGATCAGATTACGATGTTGCATTCTTAGCAGTAACTTATGCAGTTTTATACAAGTAGACTATATCTTTATCTTGCAATATGAATGTTCATTGTATAATATATTTATTTTATAAATCTTATTACAGTATTATTGACCAATCCAATTAAGGTTCATATTTTCTTATGTTACTGTAAAGCCGATCAAAAACCGGTTTTAACATATAAAAAGTAAAACCGGTTCTAAACTCTAATTCAGATACGGCATAGCAAAATATCGATATTATATCCAGTGTAAATTGTATATAGTTATTGATAGTAGTATTCAATGATGGTATTATCCAGTTGCTTAAGATGACCAGACTGCAAAAATAATTTGGTCATTAATTAGTTTTCACGTGATGTCTGTCAAATAACTTGACGACAAGTTTGGTTCTCACGATTATCAATCATATATTAATTTAATTTTTTATTCAATCTTTTTTTTTTTTACTCGAATTTTTTTCTCTAAAAATTTTTTTTTTTACTTAAAAAAATTTTTAAAAAGATGATTAACGTATTTGATGATTCATCATTAGAAAGGTTTGATATTCAACTAAATGGTATTGGCTCCAAAGAACTACACGGAGAAATTTCAAAAAGGCTTAATATTGAATATCTATCAGACTACCTTAATACCAAAGAATTGAAAGAAGTTAACGGAATTATATTTGGTTATAATTTCGGAATTTTTGTCTCTTTACCAGTCAAAATCAAACATCAAGTGAAGAATGTACACTTCCTTATCGATACAGGATCTCCAAGAACATATGTCTGCGAAGAAGTATATGATTCATTCAAGACTACGGTCAATTCAACTGTTCCTAGAGTGTTAATAAACAACAAACCTATATTTGCACACTTATCACCTAATGATTCACACTTTACGGATATAAATGTTCTCGGAGCAGAATATCTAAAACTTACTGGTGCAAGATTATTCGCAAATTATGAAGACGAAGATATTTCTGTACTCTTTGAATCCTTTAATGAAGATATTCAAAATAACAAAATTAAACCGAATTTTCAAATTCAAGAAAATTTTCAGTTAAAACCTTATAATTTAGATAAATTTGTTGGTTTTTGTTTATTTGGTTTGGCTTTATTTTTTATGTTCAAAAGAAAATCTCTTTTCATTATTTTGGCTACAGTTTTCCTTTTCTTTTATAATGTTTTTAACATTTTCTTCTATTAAGTACGTATGAGAAATTTAATATATTCGATCTTTTATTTTTTTGTTATTTGCTTTCAATATTATTTTGCTTTCAATATTATTTTGCTTTTGATTAGCTTGTCAATAAAGCAACAATTTCTGCATTATTACAAAATACATTATACATTATAGCAATTACGTTACTGATGAGTGTATATCAGGAAGGTTATAGAGATTCTTTTTTGTACTTATGACTTAAATGAATAATTGATTTAAAAAGTTTAGAGTCTAGTTGAATATGTAATGACGTACTTGTCTTCTAAGCAGTTTTTATATAGTGATCTTTAACACGCGTTCAAAGTTAAAAATGCTTTTTATTGTAAAAAAAAATTGATCAGGTATACTTGACCATATTTGACCCGTGAATTGATCTTGCATGTTTTGTATACTGCAATGTTAGGAAATTGAACAAAAAGCTGCTCCACAAATTTCGATTGGACAAAAATTGCGCCACAGATTCAATTTAGACACATACAATAGAAATTTAGTTTATTCGAGAATTTTGCTTAATTTCCACTAATAGCTGCCTCCTATATATGTCCAATTCAATTTAGACGATTGGATATATTAACATGCCATCACTGGTGACTGATACCAACTCACACGTGGATAACTTAGACGATATCCAAGTTTATTTGAATGCGAGCAAAAAGAATTTGCAATCGATTTTAAAAAATTTTGAAACCTTTGTACATTATCATAATTTGTCAACTATACTTATTTCTGTATTTTGATAAATTATTTATCGCATATATTACACAAAAATCTGTCTCTATCCATAAATGCTTATCAATTTGAATAAAATAAGCTTACTGTATATAAAGAAATCAAACACGTTCATCAAAATTAATAGAAGCATTAACATACCTTCTAGTAATAACGCATTATTAAAAGACATACTAATATGGCAAATGTCTGTTCTATAAACGTGAAAATAGTCGTAAAAATTGATGCAGTTCATATATAATAGATATTTATATTCAAATTTACCAAAAGATATAATTAATTCAGTCAAAAAATTCTTTTGGTAGATTTGCAGTTAGTTTTTTTCTGTGATACTATTATTTCATTGAAAGATTCTTCAGCAGATATCGAATTTTTTATTGAATACATTCCCGCGACAAGATTTCAAAAATATGGATTTTGACTAGAAGTGGCTTTAGTATTATATATACAGCCGAATGGTTTGGATGGTGAAATTGAAAATAGATTTTATTAAAATATTTTTAAAAGATCTACAATTTGTTGCATTAAAGCTCTTCCAGTGACATAAATGGGTGGTAAGGTAAAGTATATATGGATAAATTTATTTAATAAACAATATTCTTGGCTTTATTCTTGTAAATATACCTTTTTAAATAAATATAGGTATCAATGGAGGTCATTATTAATTTAGTGTTTAGGCTTCTTAGTACAAGTATTATTGAAAGCGTTGGGGCAAGAATGATAATCATGAAGAAAATGCACGGTCATACATGGCTTTAAATTATTGAAAAATGCCCTAGATGAACCGATTTTTCTTCCCGTTAAAACGTCTGTAAAGAACTTTTGGCCATGCATTATTTATCATTTTATACATTGGTGATTTACACTCAGGAAATTTACTTTATGATCAAAAATTCGTTATTTTTCGATCGTGAATTTCATTATGTATAAATTTTTGTGGAAACAAATCAGGGATCAACTATGAAATACTTATCTTAAATAGCACTAGAAGTGTTAAAGGAGAGCCACTTACAAATGAATTTGAAATTTACAGTTTTGCAATGATAAAGTACGAAATGATAACAAGAGACCAGCCATTTTGGTATAGGCCATACAATCAAAATCAAGAATGATATCTGATGTTAATTATATGAGCATCTTTTTGATGAAGTAGAAAAATTTAAAACAAGTGAAGAAGTATTTATACTAAATCTAAAATCAGTTCTGAAGACTTTAATTTCTTCGTAAATAATGATTTTTTGAGATTTTTATTTCCATTTCTAGCAAAGAAACACTACATCAAGGAAGAATTTATTGATAGAAAAATATTTAGTTATTCCATTTTTATTAAAAAAATTTTAAATTTTAGCTAACATTAATACATTATTTTGAAAAGTTAATTATCAATAAGATGCTTAGTTATTCTGATTTAATCAAAAGGGTTTAAATTCTAACCTAGATTCATAATTATTTACTAAGCATAGTAAACCAACATTGATATTTGAAGTAGAAATACGTATTATGCTTATTAAACTAGGTATTAGTTTTTACAACCACATGATCTTAATTATGAAAGTTGGTTTTTTGAAACAGATTTTTTTAAAATTTTACAATTATCAATTACTCTATTTTATCAGGGACGGATTGATATGACATTTTTTTAATGACGTACGTATTAGAGTTGCGGGTGAATTTCACCAAAAAACTGGTGCACCATTGAAGA